GCGTTCTATCTTGTTTTTATTTTCTATAATTATTATAAACATATGTACAGAGTATTTCAAAGTCGGGACACCCGACTTTAGCTTCTTTACTTGTTTTTATATATTACTAAGCATTTTGATTTTTGGGGTTAACCTCCAATCCGTTAATACTAGCCCATTTGTAGAGATCATCATTGCAGACACGAATACATTCATCTAAGCGTAACAGACGACTAACATATAGTACATCTGAACATCATCGGCATACATGTGTACTCGAAATTAGACACTCAACATGGAAGATCATTGACATAAATTGAGAACAATAGTGGTCCTGAGGGACTCCACGCTCCGTCTGTCCGTCTGGATGAACGCGAGGATCTCAGAAACTATAAAAGCTAGAATAACCAAAGTTGGCATCCAGATTCTCCTAGATCCGAGTAAGGACGAGTTTATTTTTTTTTTTAATTTTCCCTGTGGACGCTATTGACGAAATTCTGTAGCGGGGGAAGGGGGAGGGGGGGGGGGGGAATTAAAAAAAATAAAATAAACTCGTCCTTTCTCGGACCTAGGAGAATCTGGATGCCAACTTTGGTTATTATAGCTTTTATAGTTTCTGAGATCCTTGCGTTCATCCAGACGGACAGACGGACGAACGGACATGTCTAGATCGATTTCTCTCGTCAAGCTGATTCAGAATATATATACTTTATGGGGTCGGATATGCTTCCTTCTGCATGTTACATACTTTGCACAAACCTAATATACGCTTTTTACCCTATGGGTACAGGATATAACAACAACAGGGGCAGCGCTGCGGGCATAGGTACAAGCAGAGCATGGGCAGCGATTTTATTTATGGCTATAACTTTCTTCAGAATTGATGCGGCTATTTTTAAACCGAGATTTGGCTTAGCCTGCCTACTACTTGTGTTCCCTATGCTAACTCCTGAGCGCTTGTTCTCTTTTGTGAACAACATGTCTCCACTATCGTATATATGTATTTAATAATCTGTATTTAATTTAATTAATACATTTTTTTAAAATTAACTAACAATTTTTTTTTCAATTTTTCCTTTTTGGTATTTAAGGGTATTTAAGAGCTGCTTTAGCATTCCTTTCTTGTTTAATTTAATTAAATTTTTTTATTTTTTTAAATAATTTTTTTTTAATTTCCTTTTTTTTTGGAGAGTACAGGGTATTTTACTACCGGGCTTGCTCGACTGTAGCGTTCTCTCTTGTTGAATCTAAGTGCATTCATATAGTTGTACTAGTTGTTTATAACATAATTTGTTGCCAAATGTTTAAGCTTATCAGAACGAATTATTAATGAATATGAAAGTTGAGAAACAATGTACATATTTTATAATTATTCACATTTTACCAAATACAAGGGGACCTGTAAGCATATTAGTGTTATTGCAGACACATATTAGAGAGCGACTCTATGCAACTAAGGTCACACACGCAGTTCTGTGTTCTCCTGGCCATCGACTAAATAGCACAAGTCTGTCATTCTAAGCAATGCGAAGTAAATATAAAAATAAAATGATTTAAGGATCATTATAATCTTAGTGCTGCAAACATTGTAAAGAATTCAGAATTTCATTTTAAACTCAATCCTGTAACGAAGTGTGGAATTCCATAAAATTATTTGTTCCTTCTAACTGATAAATAAAAGTAATACAGAAAACTAATTATTTTGGTTGATAGGTTTCCTCATTCCATCGAATTTCAGAAATCATTAAGTTATAATTAAGTATAATAAATCAACTATTCAGTGAAGAATTTCTAGGGATGGGGTGTACACAGGGTTTTTTTTTGAATGCAACTCGAAAATTAGTCGAAAATTACGGATGAGTGAATGTTTTGCCAAAATTATGTTAATTGCCAGCTCGCTCATATTGCAGCTGCAATTTGCATTCACATTTGTTTCTGTAGTTGTATCTGTGTATCTGTATCTATGCGCAATGCAAATGGGCGCGCCGCTCGAGGATGTGTTTTTGGTTTGGCACGCATAAATTTTCTTATGCCCGAGCGATTCGAACGACCGACCATTTTGCATGCGGCTCTGGCCTTCCTAATAGATGCTGAAAGGGTATTTTATTGAGCGAACTTAAAGGCCAATGTGTTTGGTGATTGCCTGGAATGCCGCTGAAGGGAGAGTTGCATAATTAATTTGTTTACACAGTTGTACACAAACCCAAACATTCGTTTGGGGCAGACTAGTATAAATACTTGTATAAGTGTGTGAGTTGCCATACAGGCTGACGAGCGGCTGTGAATTAATGAGTTATTTAATAATTTTTGTTCAATTAATTACAAGAAAAGACTCAATCAATTACTGAAGAAGTATGCCTGTTTAGTTCTTTTACTATTCTGGTTCTTAAAGTTCTGGTTAAGAAGCAGTTGGCTTGTTGAAATAAAACAATCCAGTGTCTTATATGTAGATATCGCTAAAATACTTGCCTTTTTAAAGCCGCTTTGTTACAGTTAATATTGATATCTAATCAGAGTATGAAAGGCCCCAAGCTGAAGTCAAACTAGTGAAACCCAATATATGAGGGACTGTTCATGATCATGAAGGTCTAATTAGATTATAAGCAATATTATTTGTGTGAGTGTACTTCCTTGTCTGGATCTCAAGTTCATCTGCTTGCAGCATGCGATATACATAAAAGGGAAATGAAAATGTTTTCCGATTAATCAGAATTGAATATTGTAGACGGAATGTCGTGGCTTCTCAGAGCGTTGTACATCTTTGGTTTGCTGCAGCTTTCTCGGACAATTTGTCCCGAAAGTTTTACAGGAGTGGGCGATAAATGCTATCTGATACCACATCTTAAGGTATGTGTGCATAAAATGATTCGAATTCCGAAATTGTTTGAAAGCTTTTTTAGTGTTGTTCAATAATATTTCACTCTTTAGGCGAATTGGACAAATGCGGATCGATTTTGCAGTGATCTCAACTCTCATCTCGTTGTGTTTAAAACCCAACTGGAAGTGGATTTGTTGACTGCTCATCTTCACAGATTAAACATGCCACTTACTGGCACCAATGACACTAACTGGTGGATAAATTCCATTTGGACCTCTATTAAAGCGAAGCACAACAGTCGTGAGTTTATTGTCCAACATACTGGTCAGCCTATACCTTATCCAATGTGGGGCCCCGGTCAGCCGGATCATGATATTCAGAGCTGCGTCGCCACTTGCAAATTATCTGACAAAATGGTCTATCACGACTACAATTGCGGCAGCGAGCTGTCATTTATTTGCATGGCCGATGGCAATAAAACTCATCGCCTATTTATGTCAGAGAATATTTTTCCAATCAATTTTAAACCATAATTGTGAGATATTCTTTGGTTTTTAAGCACTTGATTGAAACGAATTATAGGAATAACAATATAACTTCTAATGTTGGATTATTTCCAGGGCTATTTTCTTAAAATCTGTGAGTATCTATTAGAAAAAGTTTTCTTTTTAGTTAGGCTTTTATTGTAAATTATTGTACAAAACATTTCCCGAAAATCTTTATAGCAATGATCATTCCATAGTAAAGAATCACAGTAAATCCAGAAGGCCGTTGTACACAGAACTCTATTAAAAATTCTGTTTAGTAATCAAATGCTTGCTTAATTGTCGCTTTTTTTACAACTTTTGGGCATAAAGGTAAAATTGGGAAGCATATAGAAAAGTTGTTAAAGCTTTAATTGTTGTTCAAACCGGTTCTTTCAAGAATGAAAGCGTTCTGCATGTCAGTCAATAATTCTGCCTGACCGCCATATCCATAGCATTAACTATATGTTTAATAAAGTGTCATTTGCCTTCTATGTATTTATAGGCGCCATTTCTTTTTGTGTGCGCAACAATAACATTTGTTTAAAATGTTTGTGAAATGTTGTTGTTGCTGCTACTGCTGTTGGTTCTACTGTATATAGTATATTTTCGATTTGCTGCTGTTGGCCCGGCCCAATGCACTGCCGACTGCAAATGCGACAGGAAAACGGCCACAACAATAGCAACAATAACAAGAGCAATAACAAGAGTAGCAACAGCAATGGCGGCAAATGTTTTACAGCAGATAAGAAGTTTAATTTATGCGAAAACATGTTTTGAGCTCACCAAGCAGACAGACAAACAGGCAGGGAGATGAGCAGATAGCTGGGATAGCTGGGGCAGCCCGTGCACTGACAGGAGTACGCCTGGATCGTGCTAGAGCCACGCCCACCATTTCACACGTTTGCTGGTATTGACCTTCAATGTAGAAAAGGATTTTTTTCTTCACACATATACACATGGTAATAAATTTAACTCACTGGTTCGTTCAGTTCGCACTTCCGCTTTTGCGGTTGTCGATGTCCTGTCATTGGCTGTTTGTTGTTGTCGTTATTGTTGTTATTGCTGCTGCTGCTGCGATTTATTTATTTATTTAACGCCATGTTTTGTCTAGACGACGACTGACGACGATGGCGGCGCAGCACTTTGATATTTGCCAAGCGATAACAATAACTCCTTTTTTATGTTTATAGTAGACGAGCTCGGCCATTGTCTGCAGCGTGTGTGTGTGTGTTTTTGTGTGCCGGCATTCAGTGCAGATTTTATGCGATTTTCGTCTGGACGGGCGCCGCTCGTGTTGCCGCATAAGCAGCCTGGCAATTAAAGGCAAAGACAGCCTCCACTCCATGCCACGCATTTGCAGCTGCAGAAGCCATTGCGGGGGCACATAATGTGCCGGCTCATTAATTAATGCTAGATTGTCTGCTAATTTGCCAAAACCCGTACTATTGCATACCGTCATGCTTTGGCAACATGTTGCTAGAGTGTTGCAGCACACAACAGCATGGTGCGTAGTACTTAGCAGCACAGCCTGAAAGCACGCTACACATTTCCCAGTACGCGAATAATTTTCTATCGCTCGTTTCTTCAATAAGCCACATTACTGATTCTATTGTATATGGACAAACTAAAAATCTGATGGAAGCTATGTATATATAATGTCTAAAAACACTCTTCCATTTTACCAAATACTAAGTTATCGCGATATATATTTTCTTGTATAAAACATAGAAAAAATGTATATAAAAAAATAAATAGAAATTAGAGTAAAAGTCCCCAGCTTCTGACAGTATCGCTTGACTCACGCATCCTATAGTACACGTACTAAAAAGTGGTCCATTTTCTTGCGATGCATACGGCCTTCTTCGTGCTGCTTAACGGACTTCAGATGATTGAGCGTTATGTTGCACACCTCGCAATAATAGGCTGCGTTCAGATCGTTCAGCTTCCGAATCTCGGACTTGCTGCAAGTCGCATACAAGTAGAACCCCAGCGGATTGAGTGGCATGAGTGTGCCATTGGCATTGATCCGATACATATGACTCCCCTCCACGGGCACCACACCACAGTTCTGGTAGGCAGTATGGAGTCGCTTGCGGTGGCGAGCACCTGCCACGTGCATTGCCATTTGGGTCTCCGATGTGATGCTGACGTCGCAAATCTCGCACATTAGCCACTTGGCGTCCGTGCGCACCCAATGACCGGTGCTGTCGTAGAAACCCTCGCCATTGGGCGTAGTAACGTGACGGGCGACCAACCGATGGCGCCGCCCAAAGAAATGTTGCTGTGCATGCATCACTGAGGTCAGCTTCAGATCACAGAGCTCGCAATAAAAGGCTGCCGGCCCGGCGGTTCGCAAATACTTTAAAATGTCATCAGACATCTGGCCCTGTTGACAGAAGTGCCGCACCAGCCAGGAACTAACGCGCCGGTCGTGTGAGCGTGAAGAATAATGGTCCACAGCATTGTGCATTGTTCTCATAGTAGTGCGACAGAGATTGCAAAAATTCCAGCTAAAGAGCGTCTGCAGCTCTGGCGGATAGTCTCCGTAGTTCATGGGTTGCGGCTCGTCTGTATTCAGCGTCTCTGTAAGTTTGAGAATTCACAGAAAAGAAAATTCTTTTAATATATCTTATTTAACGAAGATAATTGTAGTAACTGCTATGGTGATAATACAGAAACTAATAATTGGTGCAATTATTGCCCAGTACCTTTTAAAGGATCAAAGAAGCCTTGGGATTATGCCTTTAATCATTCGAGATAACTTGTTGAACTTACAGTAAATTCGATCACCTCATATCGAAAGAATCCTCATCGATTTGCGTTTAAAAACACTCTTCGATAATGGCTTTATTACACTAGACTAGAAATTCAGATTGACGAAGGAAAAAGGACATAAGTTCAACAGTTAGTTCACCTAGTTCTAATACTATATGTATTTGGGCTCGCTGTTATTTCTAGACTTCCAGGCTTTGAGTATACTTTTTAACTGATGACTGCTTACCTATTATGAGTTCTTCGGACGAGGTCTGCGTTTCCTCACGATAGTATTCCAGCTGTGGCAATGTGCTGTTGTTTGTGGACAGCTGTCCTAGACAACGTCTCGGCTCGCTGGACATCGCAGTGTTGGGCTTCTGCTGAAGCAGCTGTTGTGGTCGCGACTTTTTTTGTTGCAGCTGCGACAGTTTCACGAGATGTTGCTGCTGACGCTGCTGCTGGTAGTGCTGTTGTAGCTTCTGCTGGTTTTGCGATTCACTTTTCTTGATCATGCGAATCGGATTATATTCTGGCAGTCGCTCCAGTAGAGCACTTGACTCCTTGAAGCTTATGGTGTGCGTGAAATTCTCCTGGGATTGCGATTCCTGCTGGCTCTGTTGCTGCTGAAGTCCGTTCTGCTTCAGACTTATATTGAAATCGTAGTGGTTTAGCTGTGGAAACGTAATGTATGGCGGCAGTCGATCGAGATATTTGCTTGCGTCCCCAAGGTTCATTGAGATTCTGGATATCTGCTGTTCCTGTCGTTGTGGAGTATGCGACTGCTGGTTACGGTGTTGCGGCCGCTGTTGTTCGTGCTGCTGGACGCTTATATTGGGATCACAATGGCTTACCGGCGGACATGTATTGTATGGCGGCAGTCGTTCCAGCAATTTGCTCGCCTCCCTAAAGTTCAAAGAGCTCTTGGAATGTTGGTGCTGTTGCTGGAACTGAAGGTTATGTCTCTGCAGACTGGACTGAATCGGAAACTGCTGATATGACTGGTCAATACTCTGTCGCGGATACTCATTGTTATAAATCTTGATTGAACCTTTGCGGTCCAGATGGTGGCCTTGCGGCTGTGACAGCTCCTGTTGCTTGATTTGCAGCTGACTCTGTAGCTGCTTAGGCGCATATTTTGAGTTGTAGAACTCCATATGTTGAACAGGCCTATAATTGGGTAGCTGTTTCAATAACTTTCCCGGCTCCTTAAAGTTGATCAGCTTTCCGTACTTCTCCTGCTGCTGCTGAATGTAACGTTGCCGTTCTCGCTGCTGCCTCTCTCGCTGATGCTGCTCACGTTGTTGCCTCTCCCGCAGTTGCTGTTCACGTTGTTTCTTCTCACGTTGTTGCTGCTCACGTTGTTGCTGCTCGCGTTGTTGCTGCTCACGTTGTTGCTGCTCACGTTGTTGCTGCTCACGTTGTTTCTGCTCACGTTGTTGCTGCTCACGTTGTTGCTGTTCTTGCTGATACCACTCTATCCTTTGCAACTCTCTTTGTTGCCACTCTATCTGTTGCTCTCTCAGCTCAAGCTCTCCCTGCTGCTCTCGCTTCAGTTGCTCTTGTTGCTGTTGATCTCGTTGCTGCTGCTCGAATTCCTGTTGCTTGAACATATCATGATTATTATAGTATTCTAGCTGTGGTAATGACTTATATGAGAGCTGTGGCGCCAGGAATGTGCTGGACTCTTTAAAACTCGTCAGTTCTCTGAGCCTCTGCCGCTGGAACTGTTCCTCATATTTCAGCTCCGGCAGTTCTTTTAACATATGTAGTTGTTCCAAATAATTGTTTGATCCCTTAAAGCCGACAACATTTCTGTGCCTTTCTTGCCGATCGGGATACGGCTGTGGATAGGGTTGATATTGTCTCCGATGCTGCTGCAGCTGCACCTGCTTTCGATACTGGAATATCTGGCTTTGCTGTCGATGATGATATGTTGTGTGCACGCTTTGATAGAAATGCTGCTGCTGATGTTGCTTCTGTTCTTCTATGTGCGTTTGCCTCTGTTGGTACTGATTATACATATATTCAAAGCCGGAGTATTGAAACTGGGGCAGTGGTTTGTATTCATACACCTGTTGCTTAATGTTGGCCGTGTTTTGGTAGCTCGGCTGCAGATGCAGATACGGCACTTTTCTTTCTGGTGGTGACGTTGGGGCTTGCTGGCGCTGGTCCTGGTTCTGGTGGACCTTCGGATTGAAAACACACAAATCATTGATTTGCTTGTAGCCGGTTATGGACTTCAGCTCGTTCCGACGGTGGCAACTACTACTACTGCTCAGTACATTCAGTCGAGTTAGCTCCATCAGATCAATTTTGATCATTTCTCTGCGACAATGCTGTTGCAATGCTTTGGCAAAATGAACGCGTATATGTTCGGGCGCCACCATGGATACGAGTGGTGCCTCGAATGACATTATTGTATGCTTAGACAGTGGTTGACTTCCCCTTATAGCCTCCTCGTCCACGGTATGATATGCCTGCTGTACCACAAAAAGTGACTTTTCAGTTCCTCTAGCCGTGTCGCTGCTGACACTGCATTTCACGTCATTGTCCGCTCCCATGCGATGAGAATCGTTTTCGACCTGCTTCGGGCAAGAGGGTGCGGATAATACGGGCACATTCTTCCCTCCAGTGTAGAGCACTACGGCGTCTTGCCTGGCCTCTCCATGCAATGGACAGACGGGCAACCGGAAGGACTGCGTCTTCAGCTCGGACTCTTCGTTCCGCAGGTTCACCTCATAGCGGTAGCGTACATCCTCATCCATACGTTGCAGCTCAACAATAACGGGCACATCCTGCTTGGCCGCATACGATGGCACGGCCTGGGCCTTCCTGTTTATGTTCTTCGCACATAGCAGCGCAATCTGCTGATGCACCAATGGTATGTGGGGACCTAAATCGTTTTCACGTACGAGCATTTTCATTTGACGTATGGGCGTTTTTAGTTCATCTGGTTACGTTTGTGGTACGACAACAAACAATTTTTAGCAAGGACTTCCGCCTTTTCACATAGAAAATAAAAAATGCAGTAAACGGATTAACACTGGGGCCGTGCAAATTCTTCGACCACTTATTAATACGAAATGTTAGCAAAACATTTGAATTTGTCTAAATTGGTGTTAAATGTGTGAGGTACTTGGAACCCGTCAAAAAATACATAACAATAGCAGGCGATTAATTTTGCAAAGCTGTCTAAGGTTTATTGACAGCCACTCATTCGCAGTTATCGAAGGAGACTGGTGTGTGTGTGTGTATGTCGATTAAGTGTATATCGAAATAGCGCCCCAAATGTGAAGAGTTTAAATATCGGTATTTCGTTACTTTTTGAAAATTAAAGTTCGGTTTTTAATTTACATTATTTTTAATTTAATAAACTGTATGATTTAATGGGAACACAAAGTTTGTTAGACTTATAACTTTTAATCATATCGCTTTTTGAATAGCTCTCCTATTTAGGTCGGTTGTTAATAGTTGTTAACAGTGTTATAATATAGGATATATATACAGGATATAGTCCAGGCGGAGGCAACTATTTGTTGACCGATTTTTTAGTATCAAATTATTTGCACTACTACTTGGTTTTTCGCTATTTCGCTATTTTCGCCGTCGAAAAATCGGGACACGAAAGGCTATATGCAATCAACGCACAGCCCAAACGGTAAGAACTAGGAAGCTGAAATTTGGACAAAAGTTGTCTTTTATGGTGTAGGTGAGCACTTTTCGATTTTGAAAAATTCGAACGCCAAAGGGGGGAAAACGGACTCTAAAGATTGTATGACAAATCTGCAATTTTCATTTGATTGGCTTCAAAATCGGTTTGTGTAATGTATAAAAGAATTAAAAAACACTGCTTACTTGGTTTCCCTGGGGTATGAAAAAGGGGGGTTTTCCCGTGGAAAAATTGAAACACAATCAACAGCCCACAGCCCAAATAGTAAGAGCTAGGAAGCTGAAATTTGAGCTCAAGTATCCCATCATAATATAGGTGAGAACTAAGAAGGGATTTTTGTAAATTCGGACTCCAAGTGGGGGAAAACTAGCTCCAAAGTTTGTTTGAACAATCCGAATTTTTCCACCAGTCAACTTCAAATTTGTTTTTAATAATCTATAAAAAAAAATTCAAAAAAAAACTGCATACTCGGTTTATCGAAATTTGTGTTGGAGCTTGAATTATTGGGGTTTCAATATTTATTCACTTTTTCAAATGATAATTTTGTGTTATATATTTTGTCCGATCGATTTGAAATTTGGGTAATGTAATCTACGTAACTAAATCTACAACTTTGCATTCAAGGATGATCAAATTATAGAGCTTGCACTGTGCATGCGTCCCGCAGCGTTCGCTGCGCTCTTCGGGAAATGCATTAGAGAGGGCATTTTTCCAGACTGTTGGAAGGTGCAGAACCTGGTCCTGTTGCCAAAACCAGGCCGATCTGCCTATTGGACTCAATCGGGAAGGTTTTGGAGAAGTTGCTGTGCACGAGACTGGAGGCAGTAATTGCGCTGTCACACAATTAATTTGGTTTCAGGAAGGCGAAATCCACCCTGGACGCATCAAATGCTATTGCCAGATGGAAAGGTGGCACCAAAAAATACTGCCTGGTGGTCACGTTGGACGTCAGGAACGCGTTCACTCGGCGGACTGTGGCTGCATTCTAAATGCTCAGCAACCGGGTACTCAGGTACAACACCTCAGAGGGCACAAAAAGTCACAACATTGTTGCCGGCGTCCCCCAAGGGTCAGTTCTGGGGTCCTTATTGTGGAACGTCACGGAATTCTAATTCCTGGCACGGAGCTAGTGGGGTATGCAGGCGATGTAGCGATCGTTTGTGTCGCGAAGGAGGTCAGTGCAGCGGAAGACGCGTGCAATCGTAGCATCCAAGCTATTATGTGCTGGCTAAACACAGTTGGCCTTGAACTGGCGGCAGAGAAAACAGAAGCTGTCTTAATCAGTAGTGGCACGGCGGTAGAGCAGCCGCAAATTTACATTGGAGGTCTACCAGTGGTATCCAAACGCTCTATCACCTACCTAGGTGTTAAGTTGGACACGCGGCTGTGCTTTCAGGAGCACTTGGAACACGCCAATAGGAAATCTGCGGAGGCAACTCGGGCAGTTGGCCGCATGATGGTCAACACTTGGGGCCCAAAACAAGGGCACAGCCTACTTCTATCGAGCGTGACAAAATCTATTATGCTGTACGCGCCACCTATATGGGCTGATGCTGCAAAAAAGAAGAGCTAAATTCGGGACCTCGTAGCCACGTACCGGCTCAGCGCACTCCGCGCCTGCAGTGGCTTCAGGACGGTCTCATACGACGCTGTTCTGGTGACCGCGGGAATGGTCCTCATCGACCTCCTGATCACTAAAGCAAGCGCCCTTCACGGCATCACTTCCGGTCAGCCTCGTAGATCTGCGCGGGCAAGGCAAAGATCATTGAATGTGTGGCAGGAACGTTGGAGTACCTCATCCAAGGGCTGCTGGACTCTCAGGCTAATACCAAATATTGCACTGTGGACTAGCAGAACACAAGGGAATGTAGACTTCTACCTGATGCAACTGCTAAGCGGGCACGGTTGCTTCAGAAGCTACCTCCACCGTTTCGGACATGACTCTACAGAGGAATGCCCTACCTGATCGGGGGTTATTGAAGACTCACAGCATGTAATCTTCGAATGCCCCAGATTCGAAGTGGAGACGCGGAGTTGGGAGGAAACAACTGGCACTCATCCCCTGGCGACGAACCTGGTAACTAAAATGCTCGCCAACGAAGAGTCGTGGAAAGCGAGCGCAAAACTTGCGGCAATAATAATGCGGATGCTCCGTAAACTAGAGCGCGAAAGAAGGGGCGTATAGGCAGGTTGTAATCCGAGCTAACCAATGCCTAGCGGTCGTACCGCCCGTATTACAACCTGTGTATACTTATCATTTGTATATTTATTTTTTCTTTATTTTTTCTAAGTTAATTGTTTACCTCATACTATATTAAAGAATACAAAAAAAAAGTATAGAAGCTAAAGTCGGGTATCCCGACATTGAAATACTCTATACATATGTGTAGAATAATTATGCGTGTATGTGTGTATTTGTGTGTGTCTGTGTATGTCTCGGGTGCCTGAGCAAAGCAGTAAAAACAACAGCAGCTGCGGGCACTACTTGGTCTTATGTAGATATATGGCTATAACTTCCTGTTAAATCGGCCTATCATGATGAAACTTGGCATTTGGACTTATAATAACTAAATGGAGGTAGGAAGTACGATTTGCGGGGGAGAGGGGGGAGGGAGGGAAATTCCAGGTCTAATAGTCTCCGAGATATAGGCAATTATACCAACGGAAAATCGGGAAAACCCCCATAGGGGGGAAGTGGGGGGGAAAATCAAAAAAATAAAACAAACGTGCACAGCGTACACACATAAGGCACATTTGTGCAAAATTTGGTGTCTCTATCTCTAATAGTCTCTGAGATTCAGGTGTTCATACGGACGGACAGACGGACAGACAGACAGACAGGGCTAGATCGACTCATCTCGTCATGCTGATCAAGAATATATATACTTTGTGGGGTCTGCCACGCCCCCTTCTGCCTGTTACATTTTCAGCGCCCGCAAACCTAATATACTCTTGTACATTTTATGTACAGAGTATAAACAAGAGAGAACGCTACAGTCGAGCAAGCCCGACAGTGTAATACCCTGTACCCAGGTAAACTTCCGTCACTGAGTTATATGCGCCCATAGCAGCAGCAAAAAGAGGAAGAAGAAGAGCGAACTTGTTGCTGCAGTTTGGGGGGGTTGTACTGGCGAGAATTTGTTTCGCTAATAACTTTTCTTAGAATTGACCGAATTGTCCGAATTGTCCGTCTGGATGAACGCGAGGATCTCAGAAACTATAAAAGCTAGAATAACCAAAGTTGGCATCCAGATTCTCCTAGGTCCGAGAAAGGACGAGTTTATTTTATTTTTTTTAATTTTCCTCCCTTTCCCCCGCTACAGAATTTCGTCAATAGCGTCCACATTTCAAATGCTACTTAAACCAAACTTTGCACACATAATTTATATATAATTGTCTACTGTTGTTCAAAATTTTATTCAATTCGGTCAATTTAAGAAAAGTTATTAGCAAAAAAATTCTCGCCAGTTCAACCCCACCAAACTGCAGCAACAAGTTCGCTCTTCTTCTTCCTCTTTTTGCTGCTTCTATGGGCGCATATAACTCAGTGACGGAAGTTTACCTGGGTACAGGGTATTACACTGTCGGGCTTGCTCGACTGTAGCGTTCTCTCTGCTCTCTTCAATTCGTCAAATCAAAACAGATAATGTGCTGGGGTTATCATCAACTAAAGTATATATTTTGTATACGTAGCGCCAATAATTAAATTCTAAGAAACGTATTTATTAATCTATGTATATACAATTATGAGTTTACTATACTACATTTGACGACCTTCATGCACGTATCTCACAGCATCTCAGCTTGTATTCAGCCTTAACATAATTTTATACTCTTCTGGAAAAGAGGAAAAGCAATCTATTAAGACATTTCCAATTTTATTTATAAAGTGAATTTATTATAAATCGTTGAGTTCTTGGTGTATTTCAAATTTATTAAATTATAAATAAATGTATATGTACGAATATGTGGATTATAATTAAGAAGCGTATGTATTATTCGACTCCACGCCTGAGCTAGTATTTTAAAACACAGCATATAGGTGTTCTATATAAAAACAGCAAATCAGTTTGATTTCCAGTGTTGAAGCGTAATGACGACTTTATTAAAATCTTTGACAATTCTGAGCGTGCTCAGTTTTGTGGTTTGCAGTAGTATAGGAATTTGCCCCAACGGCTTCACGCGTGTGGGCGAGAAATGTTATCTTATGCCTTCGATAAAGGTAAATCCAAAGTGTGATATTATAGATATGTTAATAGAATGTTGGCTATACCGTCTCAGCAAAAAAAACTAAGTGCACAAAGTACCATGCCACCAGTACCTATGCCAGGAACTCTAAGCTTCCAGTGCGAATAGCAAAACCAACTTTACCCCCAAATTTTTAACTTCAGGGAAACAGTTCTTATCACACCAATACATATGTTTTCATATATGTATATGTATGCTTTCAGGGTAATTGGTCTGAAGCTGATAGCCTGTGCCGCCTTCTCAATTCGTACCTCTTGGTTTTCGAAAGCCAAACTGAAGCCGATCTGGTTCAAGCACATCTGGCGAAGATAGGGTCTATCCATAGCACCAACACCACCGAGAAATGGTGGGACAACTCACTATGGACGTCTATTAAGGCCAGAGAAAACAGTCGGGACTTTGTGGTGCAACATACTGGAGAGCCCATACCTTTCCCGATGTGGGGCCCACAACAACCGGATCACGATAATCAGCAGTGTGTGGCCACATGCAGTCTGACTGGAAAAATGGTCTACCATGACTATAACTGCCATATTCCTCTAGCATTCGCTTGCAAGACCAGTACAAAGCAAGAAGCTGCCATGGATTCAGAATATGCCACAGAAACTCCGGAAGTTAATACAGAATCAATATTTTGAGCTTAGCACTAAGCACTATTTGTAAAAATTGGAACACTTTTGAAATCCTGTATTGTTCTGCTGATTTGTTAATAAGTTAAGAAATTATAAATGTTTGTCTTGTTTAAAAACTGCGTAGAAATTTTAAATATGTTCTGTTGTCCATTTAATAGCTTACGCTTGACATTTTAATACTAAATACATTTATATTTTTGAGAATTCTGATTTTGCAAACATATGTTTCGGCAGGTAATTTATGGTTTGTTGGTAACATTATGCATTAATATTCAACTATGTATTTTATTCTTTCTTGTATGTTGTTAATAACGGAAGAGGAGCAAGAGTGCTGACTGTTTCAGATTTACAGAACATTTCCATTTACTCTGCTTTCCATTTCTAACAATATTATATTTTGACACAATACCAGTTACATCAAGCGATTTATGCACAACCATTCATTCATTTCGTTCAAAGCAAACCAAATTGTCTCTTTAAATAGCGGCACGTGAAATGAGCTATACATACATATACTATACGTCCGATTCGATCCCCAAGTACTTACACTTGAAGACCTTCCGTAACACCTACACATCAGTTAAGTTTATTTAGGCGGGCGGCAGCTCTAAATGTCAGCTGCGCCCCAGAGGCTCACGGAAATATAGCAATGAGGCTGAGCTTTAAACATTTCCGGGGAACGCCAAACACACACATAAACACACATTCACACACGCACACATGGGAGCGCGTGTTATGCCTGGAGCATTAAAATAATGTTTAGTGCGTGATTTTCTTTCTGCCGTGCCGTCAAGCTCCAGCAGCATCAATTGTCAACGTTTAGCTGCAAGGCAGGTTTATCGAGGCGGGAGCATCGCGCAGGTGCAGCACACACTAGTGCGGGCGAATCCTGTGAATCCTTTTCAGTCACAGTGTAGAGTGTGATTGCGAGACCTTAGTCTCGGCGATTTGAAATTGAAATAAATATTTCCTTTAAATGCAGCAATTATGCAAAGCAAAACTAAATCAATTTATGTACACATTTTAGCTAAAACAAAGTATTTTATAGAACATTTATCAAACCCTTAACTGATTCTTAACTAGCCTAACATATAGTTATACATACCAATTACATTTATTTTGAACAAGTTTTTGACATTTTCACAAAAAAAAATAGCATACTTTAAATAAATTAAATTGAAGATACGAACTCAATACGTTTTTTTACATGAAATTATTTATTATTATTATTGTTGTTATTTGTTTGCTTCATCTTTAAGATGCATATCATCCTTTTGAAACTATTAACGATTATAATTATAAGACACATCAATATTATTAGTATTATTAGAAGAGTATCCATTAAAGAAAAGGAAATAAATCACAGTTTAGTTGAAGTTAAAATTAAGTAATTTTTTGTGATTTTTAGCACAGCACTTTCGCTCACACGTTTGTAGTTATGCATATATGTATGTAGTATATGTGCGAGCTAGCTGCCAACATCAATAACACTAATGGGAAAAGGATAAAGATAAGCATTAAATAACACACGTACACGCCAAGCACACATGCACACACACACACATATATATATACTCTCACACATGACGCATTTAAGGCTTAGGTCTCGTCTACCTGGCACATGCCTCAGTCTCAGCCTTGGCCTCAGCCTACACCCACCATCTGGCCCACCGAAAATGTTTGCCCCGCGGCTTCCCCACTCCACCACTCCCCGTCAGTCTGTGCACTGCGTACGTGCAGCTGTTATCCGCCATGTTGCTGCTCCTCCATTCTTTCACATTGTGCGTTTCCGCTTCCGTCGCCAGTCTCCCAAATGCCGCCTAAATTGTGTCACATATACACACACGTGAGCAATTTAAAGAGGCATTGTCTTGAGAAGGAGCTTCTGTTCGTCCTCTTTCCATTCTCTGCCAGCAATTTCAATTGCAAACTTAATTTCATCTTAAGCTCGAGGCGTGTAAATATGCGTGCGATGCGAAATTTATGAAACGCGCCTGTTCGCAGCCGGCGGCGTAAATTGTGCGAATTTGCGAGCGGCTTCGCTCTGAATGTGTTTATTCTTGTATATGCAAATTTTATACGCATTGATTTGCCACTACACGTACACACACACACCCACATATACTACAGTATAGAAGCAGGGGTACTAGGAAGGGTAGGGCCGGGTATCGAAGCCGTCGCCAGGGGCTTTCGCAAAATGCTAAATGACAGTAAATTTTGTGGCATTGACAGCAGCGTCTATTGCAAGTCACTTAAAGGTACAAAACCAGCAGTACACACATTTTGCATATACTTGTACATACATCAAAATGAGCCAGGAACTGATGCCATTTACCTCTACACGCATCATCAAATCTCATTATGCAAATATAAATTAAAATACTGCAATATCATCTTTGCGGTAAAGCAATTATCATTAAAAATTGATTTTATATTTCATAATATAGTATGTACTACATACGCGTATATAAAACATTTATTGACGCACATTTTACAAACGTTGGTAAAACCGATGGTTATGAAAGTTTTGTTTTTGTTGTTTGTTGTTCATTTTATTCATTTGTTCATGTGTGCAAACAAATATTTTTAAAATATTTAGTGCATATACAATAAATAAATAAATAAAAATAAATAAATACTGCTCGTATAAGTGTATGTATTAGGTAAAAAGTTAAACAATGACAATAAAATATTTCACAATGAATCCGTTCCGTTCGAGAATTTTTGTTGCCGCCAGAACTAACAGAAAGTATAACAAAACAAAAATAAAATTCATGAAAAATATCTTTTAAAAATTAAATAAAAAATAGGTGAATTAGTGCATTCTTCCTCGGCTATAGCCCCACCAGAGATTAAGAATGCTGTAGAAGGAAATCCAATAAATAATTTCACAATTTCTTTTTCATATGATTGATATACAAGTTGTATATTTATTTCATAAACCAAAAAGTCAGAAGCTTAGTTTAGAAGAACTTATATTGGCAGATAGAGAAAAAACGGATGTTATCTGAAGTTAGCGCGTTTGAAATGAATCAATTTGAACTAGTTGATAATGCCTTTTCTTATATATGTACATACAAGTATATAGGTGTTAGTCTATATAACTTTAATAGTTCTGGATCAATAATACTTGTAATATTAATCAATGGGTATAACACATTTTAAGATCAGAAAGAAATTAAGAAGGTAGGTGTCTACTTACCTCTTACAGGTCTATGACTTTTGATAGTCTTCTGTCAAGAGTGAAAATTTACATTTATCGCAAACTTAAAATAAATAGAAAAACAATAAAGCAAGTTTAAAATGAGTTGGCAATGACTTATAACAAATATATTTTCATTTAACTTATACAGTTTTTGTTTTATTTTTGTTGATTCTTTTTGTTTTGTTTTTTGTTGTTGTTTTACTTTGTTTGCCTTGGGCCATGGACTTCGGTGATAATATTGTCTACGATGGGGATAACGAAAGCATTGTTCCTACGCTACGACCAACACGAAGCGAACAAATGAGGCAGCTTTACGACCGGATCATGCCCATCGAACCCACTTACGATCCGAGTATGTGTCGTGATGAGTTTCTGCGAAAACTCTTCTCCGAACTGGAACTGCCCGAAGAGGTAGAGTCGAGGCGTCCATCGATGAGTTATTCCACGAAATCGATTAGCTTACATTCGATGGATTCGAAGGGCTCCCTACACCCCAACATGTCGGTCTCCAGTTTCGTGAGGAATATGAACCAGCGACGAACGCACAGCAGAGCACTGAAGAGCATCAGCACAACTGATCTGACACTCGATCGCTATAAGCTGAGTGTAATGACCGGTCAATCGGATCACTATAAGGAGCTGTTGGAGTCTATACAGCGCTCCTCGCTCTTCTTTATGTTCTCGCGCATCATCGATCGTCTGCGCATCATGCATCGGTTTGCCAGCTCGTATGGAGATTTAAATGAATTGGATGTTCCACATAAGCTCTTCAACTGGTCAATGGACGATTTCCTGGTGCGCCGGGAGCTGCCTGATTTCGTATACCTTGATGTGTTGGTACGCAACCACACAGCAGAGTCGCTCGACTGGGCCAAGTTCCGTGTGGATATTCTGGAGACGTTGCGGGTCTTCAAATTCTTCTATGCCGAGGTCTACAGGGGCACCCATTATCGCAGGATGATAGCCGTGCTGCTGGAAAGCAAACAGATGCTGGCCATAGACGAAGCCCTGGTCGAGGCTGTGACCCGAGCGCATTTGCAGCATGGTTTGCTCTCCAGCCGCATGACTGAGGTTACGTGGAATCTGTGGGATTTGTATAAGACGCGCATATCCGAAGACATGCAAGCACGCACCATGGAGGAGACGGTGCGCAGTCCAATCGAGTGGCGCTACCTGCGCGACTACTACAAAGTCCTGGTCGACATGGAGGATATGAAAAACAATGCACGCACACAGCAGCTAAACAACGAGCTGTCGCAGCTCAGTCAAAGCATTCTACGAATAAGAGTTAGTTGGCACGCCAAGCTTATCGCGTACTCGCAAATCATCGATGTGAGTATAACTTTGCGATACGTTTCGATTTTCCTACCAGCCTCTCTGTTCAGGACTACAGAGAGAAATACGACGATATTTCCAGGCGTTATGCGCAAGACATGGAGCAGTGCACCAATGACATTATTAGGACCAACTCGCGCCTGAACAAAGTTCGCGATGACTATAAGAGTGCGAAACAGCGGGTAGAATTTATGCGAGGCCGTGTGCAGGAGGTGAAGGAGCTAATAGAGCAGGAACGGCAGGAGGATATCAATCGCTTGGTAAGATAGCTGCTGCTTTAGTACCTCATAAGATCCGATCAAATGTTGGTGTGAATTGTAGAAAGCAGAGCAGAATAGACGTGAGGCACTGGCAGCAGCCCTGGCGGCAGCGAAGCTGAAGCGAAAGTTGGCCAAACAGAGGAATAGGCCGGGGGGCAAGCGGGCCAGGACGCAACCAACTGCTAGAAGGAGTGACAATGAAAGCATTCAGGAAAATCTGAAACACTGAACAATGAACAGTGTAGTGTTTTATTTTGTTTTTTGTTTTTTTTTTGTTGGTTTTTGTTTGGCTTGTTTAACTTAATTGAACAAGTGCAGAAAGCGCAGCGAGAAACTCGGTTATTATACTTGGAGTTGGCTCGCTTAATGGGCATAAACTCGAGTTCCTGTCTGCGCCGGGATAGTGTTGGAGAATTTACGCCTCTTGCTTGTTTGCGCAAATTCGATTATCAAAATACACGCAGTCGGGAACGACACGAACGCAAATACAAGAGGCAAAAAGGATAATGCCATGTCGCCGCATTAACGCCAAGCCATTGTCAGCCAGCAAGCTAGGCAGGACGGCAGGAAGGCAACCAGAGAGCCAGACAACTGCCGTCGCGTGAAACAAGCAGCAAATTGAGTTTGGAGCTTCGTCTACTACTAGCTCTTGGCTGCTGCTCCTGACTCTCCTGCTGCTGATTAAAGTTGCGCGTCGTCGCTTCTGTTTGCCCGCCAACCGCTTCGGTAGCTTTTGTGGTGATTTGTAATTTTTTCTTTTTTCGAGCATATCATTAGTGGAGAGTGCAGCCAGCATGGCCAAGGCCCTGCACAAATGGCATATTAAGCTCGTGTGACAGCACGTTCATTGTAGGCTACCCAAGTCGTATGAGACTCTGGCCAAGGACCGCCCACCCATACGCAACCCATGCTTGACACATATTAAATTTCATTTGACTGGGATAAGCATAAAGTTGTACTCGGCGACTGCCTGCTATGTTGCCTAATGAAGGTTAAGCAACTTTTAATGTGCCCGTTGTGTCGTCTCGACAGCGTCGTCGTCGTCATCCTTGACATCGCCTGTCGCCTCCTGCTTTGCTCGTGCTGGCCATTTTGCAGACCATTAAATGTTTTGCTGGCAATATTCCATATGTTTGGACATGGATATGGGTAGAAAAAGTTTTCTTATCATTTGCAAAAGGCCATAAAGACATAAATGACATGGCGATGACAGTAATCGTAATGATGACGACGTGAATGTCTATGATGGCCAGGCACATATGTATGTTGGCATACAATTACAAATACACAAGAGCAGGCAGAGCTGTGTGCCTTTCAGGGACCTCTGCACATATGCTCGGGTCGTCGTTATGTCCTTTATAAATTGTACTTTTGTAAATCAGCATGGGTGCGTTCTGCTACCCAGTGTGTAACCAATACCAAGTTGATTGCACATAAATGGCAATTCTTGAAACTAAGTCTACCTTTTCAAAATGACCAACAATGCCTTGCGTTCGTTCATTTTTTATAGAGTTCTTAGAGAGAAAATTATTATTCAGAAGCTAATATGTAATATAATAAAATTAGACTATTTCGGCCTTCTTCCGAGCATAAGGAAATTTTTAAAAATTGTTAACCTAACCAAATCTTTTGCCTTCATTTTTTTAAGTTTAAGTTTCTTGGCACCTATCGGTATGCATAATTATTTGGCCATCCACGTTTGTTACAAGGAAAGCGCCATCACCAATTGCGTCGTCTTTTTATACGACGGATATTAGCATTTATTTTAACTGTGAAATTTCAGTATTGCAATTTAAGCTTTTTTTCTTGTGGTGTAATTTGAACCGGTATCTACACTCAGAAACGATGTCGCAATGGGATTCCTGCTAGCCACTTGAGCTATGTCAGGCCCCAATGGGATACGAATATTTCAGATGTTCCTTTTTAGACAAGACTTTAAAATCGATTATAAGTCTCTCGCTGTTACCCCTCGAATACGGGTTATAGTATTTATGATTCCTATTAATAATAATAATAACATTATTTTTCCTCTTAAATTGACTATTTTTGTGTAACACTTCTCATTTGTGTTGATTTACGGGCTCCCGTACCTTTACCTCATTTCAAATTAAACAGTCCATCACATTCCTACCATATGGTAACAAAATCTTACCATATGGTGAGCAGGTAAGCTTAGAAGGCGAAAAGTATGCTTTGAAATTTTTTTTCGTGATTCTCTTCACCAACTCTGCTGACATTCTCTTCTTGGTAGTCTTTGGCGATAAGCCTGCGCACTGAAAAACATTTAGTCCTGACTTTGTGATCATCTTATTGTTAAAAATTATTATTAATATTACCAACTAGAAAATACATTTTTAGCATCTCTTTTCTTATCACTTGTAATTGTATTTGTTTGTTTATTAATTCCTAGTACGACAAGAAGATTTCTTATAAATTAATGTACTAGTCACAAAGTATGCAATTTTCTTAGATAAAATGAATAGTGATGTTTATAACCTACTATTTTTATAAGATTAATATTATTAATACATAAATTTAAGGCTTGTTTTTCTTTCTGTTTTTTTCCTGTTTTTTTATTATTATTAATACATATATTTAAGGTGATTTTTCTTTTGCTCTTATCGTTATCATTAAATTAGTACAAAAGAGTTGCCTAATGAATGTAAATGTATAGTATAGGGTTAGTGCTTTTTGATTTTTTCAATTAGTTATACTCTTGGAAGTGCGCTTCAATTCCAGTTCTAAAATGCGTTTCATTGCTGATTATTTTTAAGTTATGTGATAGCTCGTTCCACAGACGAACAGCAAAGATGAAAAAGTGCTTTTCTGAACTGGATAATCTATATGTTTCGCAAACTATATTAATGGTTCTTCTTGATGAATTAAATGAGATTTTGTTATACAGATAGTTCGGTTCTTTATGATTAATGGTTCTACAAGTATGGAAGAAAATTAGAGTCCTAAGTTTTATCCACGAGTGAAGAGTCAGGCTTCAAATTTTGTTAGCGTATGTCGTTATAGATTCTCTTCTTTTAATGTTATAGACATATCGCGCAATGCTGTTGAAGGCGACTTTTAATTTATTCTGGCTTGCGGCATCGCAGTTTCCAAATAACTCAACCCCATAAAATAATGAGGGTATCAGGTATGACTTTGCAATAAGAAGCTTGAGTTTGCCTGGGAGGAAATTCTGCGTCAAAGAGAGATGCCTTAGTGCACTATAAGTTCTACCCACTGCATTATTAACGTGATTATGCCAGGATAGAGTCTCATTGATGGTTATCCCTAAATTATTTGCCTTCTTTACGTAATCGATATGCTCATTGCTGAGTTTCAATTTCTCTAGATTGAGTAAGTTAATTTTCATTTTATATAGATACTAACACATTCTATTATTCTATTTAACGGACGACTAACATATAACTGGACATCATCTGCGTACATGTGAATCTCGCAATTTGACACGGAGGCCCTAACACCAATCCCTGTGGGACACCACGTTTTATTGACATAAAAGACGAAAAACTACACGAGGTGACAACTGCTTCATGGCGACCGGATAGGTACGATTGCACTAGACTTATTGCCGAGTCAGAGGAGTTGAAGATTCTTTTTAGTTTTGTGCAAAGTTAATAATGAGTTTCCTACCAACAAGTTAGTAATTTGGTTAGCCATTAGCTGTTCAAATGCTTTATGTATTACTTAGCTTCTAGCTTATGGTATTACTTAGCTACCTAGGAGTAATTGTTTAGTCAGCTAGATAACTGTAACAGCGACTGACATATAAAAGACAGAAAGTAATTAATTAACAACTTATCTTAATTCATCATTGTAGCTTGGGCAAAATCTTTAAATATGTTAGGCATATTTCACAAGCGCATATAGTTCGGTAAACTTTTACAGGATCTGTGAAAGTTTGTTTTCATATCATATCACTGAATAGCAAAAAAGATTCGCTATGTGGCTTTTACAAGCTGGTTGTTTGTTTGTTTGAATTAAAAGAAAAATTGAATATGTATTTTAAAATGTACCACTAGCAGTAATGAGAAGGGGAAGTTCACTCGATATTATCTTCTCCACGCTGTAAGGTCAGCATTCAAGGACATTGGTTTGTTCGATGAACAAAAAGAATACAATTTAGGGTATATTTTCGCGCTTGATCACAGCATTATTATAATAGCTAGATCAAAAACATGCTTTCGAAAAATTGTAATTATTTAAATTTTCTTTGCGATTTGTTTTCTGTAATTCTCATTGATTTTATATTTTTAGCTATTCCTTAAGTTATACCATATACTCTGAATTATATTATTTTTCTTCAAGTTTGTCGATGTTTTATTGGGACAAGCAAACAAATTTATAGCTCAAGAATATACACAAGATTAATAGATGCATAAAAACTTCATTTCCTTGTTTGTAGAGCAATTAAATGTTGCAACAAAGTTTGTTCTTAAAGTACACACATTGTAGGGAATTTTCCGTTCGGACCTCACCCAAAATTCATTGACAATTTGTTACGCTTAAAGCACAGTACTATGGGCCGGAAAACTTAGTATGTCTGATAGGTGTGAGAACTATGTACATTAAAGTGACGCCCATCGCTCTACGAGTTGCTTGCAGTGAAGCAGAACGCGAACGCCCTTTGATGCGCCTTTCACCAAATCAAACATCAACTTTGAAATGCCAAGCGAAGACAGTAAATGTTGCTCTCCTCTTTTATTGTTATTAACATTTACATGTAACACACAAGCAGACACACACTCGCGTACATAGACTGTCCCATGTGTGAAGCTCTGTAATTTTGCGCTCCATTGCCTGCGGAAATCGCCGCACAATCAAATTGCTATAGGCAAAGGGCAAGAGTCGGGCACGAGAGGCCATAAAATAGCGGGCAAATAGTGTGTGTGTCGAAATACTTTAAGTTCCTCAAATAAAAAAAAAACATAAAGAATAGAAAAAGTTTTGGCACAAAGCGACAAGCTTGGCATAAATTTCTTGCTTTAAAATGCCGCGGCACTAATATTTATGTGTTGAAATCCGCGTTCGAGTTTTGCGCCGTAAATTTGCGCACCAACGATTTTTGTTGTTGTTTTTTGTTGGCTGCTGTCCTGACAAGGACACACGCGACTTTCGATTGGCGTTTGTCCAAGCGGCGATGCCGCTTTTGTTTGTTATTTATGCAGTTGCTTTTTGCAACACTTTTGGTGTGCCACTGCCACATACAGTATGTGTG